GTTCTCTCTGCTCGGTTGTCTGAATGATTGTGACTGAGTACAGTTTTGCTTTTCTCTGCCATTTTCTATTGTTGAGTCCTGTCCTGGTTTACTTGATCAGATTTTCTCCTTGCAATAATGCAGAGACAGTGAGTAGAAACAAAGAAGTTCATCGCTCCCTTTTTAATGCATTCATTCATTCATCTATTTCTCCCAACCACTTCCTGAGTGCACCGCCCCCCTCAGGAACACAAGGACTGAGTGCACGGAAGAGACGTGGGACTAGCCAGAGCCCAGAGAACTGTGCTGTGCTTCAGATGGCCAAGGCATTTGATTGTCTTCTGTTGACTCTGCAGCTGATAAAATGCAGCTCAGGTCACAAGAAAGTGACAAAGACTGGGCAAACCACACGATATCTAGAAGCCCTTTGCTCTCCTCACAGTCACGGGTCTCTTCATAGATGGGGTGTGGGGTCTGGTATGCAGATTCCGATGTCTTAGGAGTTAATGGTTTCCACTTTGGTTTTCCATTGATGGACTCAAGACATTGTGACTTGGGTCTTCAAGTGTCTTAGCAGCACTAAACTCCTAATCCTGGCACTTGTGGGAAGGGTTATGGAAGCTAAACGCTTTTACAGCAGGGGGTATTTTCCTAAGCATCTTGACTAACCAGTGTTAGCTCTTAGTAAACACTTGTGACTGAAGAAAGCGTCTCAGTACCCTGGCTTTTAAACCCAGTGCCTATCTGTGGGAGTGCAGTGGACACAAGGAAACCGTGACCCACCCACCCGTTACCCTCGTCGTCCTCCTGAGTCCATGGAAGACTAATCCAAGGTAGGTTTCCTGTGAATGGCCATAGTCGAAATAGTTCCCCACCACCTGGGGAACTCTTACCCTTATGGTCTCAGTTTGTACTCTTGGGGGGCCCAAGACATGGATTAGTTTCTACTTCCTATTCAGCTGTCTCCAGAAGCAGAGTTCTCGTCCCCTGGCCCTTCCCCCGGTTGCTACTTAAGGCTGTGGCCACTCAATCTAAGTACACTGCCTTTATCTGAAGCAAATATCCCCCCCCCATTATATTTCTGTGGTTAGTATTTATTGAGCACAGGTCCCTTTGTGTTTGCTTAAGTCTTCAACTTGATTTTGATCAAGCTCCGCAGCATGGAGGAAGGACAGTTAATGCTTTTGAAGAGGACCTTAAGAGATTAAATGGTTCCCCTTTAGGGGCTGATGTCTGCCTTGGAGAAACACTGCATTCCTTCCAGGGCCCCTGGAGCCAGGAAGCATAGTTCACGGGGTGGGGCTGCAGGAGTGTGTCTGGACACTGCTCTGTGGACCGCGTCGCCCACCTCCTCCCCCTGCTTTCTTTGGCTTTATAGCTCTTCTCCCACCTGGCGGTGTGTACATTTCCTGGTTTATCTTGTCTCCACCTGGACAAAGCAAGCGCGGCGGGCAAGGGGACTTTGCTTTGTTTACAGCGTGTTTTCTGACCCTCTCGGGGTTCCATGAAATTCATGAGTAGGCCATTGACAGAGGCTTTACCTGGGAAGAACAAAGGAGGCCCCGTATCCGAATGACTCTCACCTGGTTTCTAGCATGCCAGAAACCAGGCCTCCTGTGCCAGGCACAATACTCGGTGTTGGTTGATTTCTACAACCCATGTGGGCTACACGGACAGCCCACTTCCCACCTTTCTCACCCACCAGTGTGTTTTTGAGATCTACTCCTTGGTAGAAACTGAGAGTGGGTCGGGGTGTGCCAGCAGGGGGCGTGTGTCCTGCAGGGGATCTGGCAATGCCCGGAGATCTGTTCTGTTGTCCTTCCTGGAGATGGTCCCAAGTGGCTGGAGATAGAAGGCCGGGGCCGCCAGCCCAGCCCTTGACAACACAGCGGATGTGCCTTGTCCATTGGCCGGCCCGTGGGTGGACCAATTCTCTGCGGATTCTCTGCTCTGATAAAGAGCGTCGCACAGAGCATCCTCACCAACCCTGTGAGTGTGTGTGTGAGTGTGTGTACAAGTGCTCTAAGAAACCCTGGGACTGTTGCCCCCACAGCTGGGTCCACAGACACCCACAGCACTGCCTGGGATTCCACTTCTCAGCACCTCTACCTGCATTTGGCTTTATTTAACCTTTACATTTCTGCCAAGCTTTGAAGAGTCCGATGAGTGTCTCATTTGCAAGAATTTGCATTTTCTGCATGCTGATGAGGCCAAACCCTGAATAAGTCACGCCCCACAGCCTTCTCCGAACTCAGGGTCAGGAGTTGCCAAGGGTGCCCCACTTGGTTTTGTGCCCCCTTTTTACCTGTACTGGGAAGTGGGTCTTCTGGGAGACCAAGCCGGCCTGCTTTCTGCCAGCAGAAGTCGCTGTTCCGGGCTGCTCTCCACCAGTGTGGTTTAGACCCTCCGCCTCGGCCCCCTTCACCCCCAGCCCTCCCTGGGTTTCTGTGTATCACCGGAGGCACTTTTGTTTTCTCAGCGTGGGCATGCCAGTGGCACCTAGAGGCAGAGGCTTCTGCCCAGACCGGCACCCAACGCAGCAAAGAAAACCTGACCCCAAATGTTCAGTGTCAGGCGGGGAGGCCACCGGTGGTGCCCAGGCGACCCCAATGTGTGCGTCGTTCCAAGAAAGACTAGGACACTCTTTGATTGTAAGGCCACCAGTGTTATTTCAAACTGGAAACAAACTGGGCAGGGAAGCACCTTCCTTGGGGTGTTTTAGAAAGGCAGGGCAGGTGGGCAGGAAGAAGCCACGGTTTTGATATCAACCTGATCTTAGAATGAGCTGGGCTTGGGCAGGGGCAGGGGCTGGGCGGGGCAGGGCCGGGAGGGGTGGCCTGGGATGTCAGACTGCCAAAGGCTGGCGCAGGGGCCAGCCGCTCAGAGAACTGCGGGCAAGGGCAGTCTAGAAACTTCTGGCCACTCTGAGCAAGGGGCGGCGAGGGGGTGCCACCGGCTGGTGGTCCTGCGGAGGCCAGATTAGCACGCAGGGACGGCTGGGGGCTTGGGTGGAGGCCAGGCCTTTGTCAGCTGCGCCGCGGGCGCCCGGGCTTATCCTCAGAGGCCCGGGTCTCGGCTCGAAGGTGGCCAGCACGCCGTCTCTCCACAGTGGCCTGAAGGCGGATGGTCTTGGCTGGCAGCTCTCGCTGGACCTGGCGCTCTTAAACCACAAGGGCCCCGCCCGCCTGCCCTTGTGGCAGCGTCGGGTGAGCTCCCACTGCAGCCTGGTGTCCTTGGCCGTGGGGTCAGGACGGGGCGAGCCGATGCTCACGCTGGCCCTGTGCTCTAGACGCGCGATTTTCAGGGTCATCAGGTTTCGACTGCGTCGGGGGCAGCGGGCCTTCCACTGCCACTGCTGGGCCTGGAGGGCGAGGGCCAGGCCGAGCGCCACGGTGTTGCGGCGAGGCCCGCCCTGGAGGCGGTGGCGGTGGCGGGCCTCGGGGCCGCTGGGCCTGTAGGTGATGGTGCAGCCGCTGCCCACCGGCGGCAGGGTGGGCAGTGGCTGGGATCGCAGCCAGGGCGCGGGGGGCAGGTAGATGACCGGGCACGGGTCTGCCTCCAGCCGGCGGAAGGCGGGTGTGCGCCGCTGGCCTGGGCGCTGCTGGGCGGGGACCAGCAGCGCGGTCTTGGCCCTGCTCAGGAGCTTGCTCAGGAAGCTGCCCATGATGGCGCGGCAGCGTCTGGCTCTGGAGGTGGGGAAGTTGGCGGGCGTTCTGGAGAGCCTGAGCGGTGGCGGTTGGCATGGCGCGCGGGAACGCGAGGGTGTCGTCACAGTCGGGCTGCGGGGCATGGGTTCCTGCGCATGCCAGGCTGCGGGGAGGGCGGCGCCCCGCGGACAGTGGCAAGTGCGGGGCGCTTCTGCCCTCTCAGCCAGCAACCAGCTGGGGACCAAAGAATGGCTGTTGCACTTGACATTTCAAAGGGGGGAATCTACTATTCTTTTCTACCAGCTCATGGAAATCTGGGGAAATTGCAGAGGATTGCTTCCTGCCATCATGGAAGTGACCCTAATACACGGCACACTGGCTTATGGAAAACCTAATCTCCATTTCCTCTCATTAGTAATGCTTTCTAAAGAGTTATTTGTTTATGTATAGAGGAACTGGGGTGTAGGCCAGTGGTGTGGCTGTGAGAGGCTTCACCAGACAGGTGGGGAGCAGAACAGGCAGGTCCACTGTTGAGGGGAGCAGCAGGGAGATAGGAGAGGTCTGCTGTACCCTGTGGGTCACCTCCCTGCCCAGGGATAGAACTTGTGCTGCAGTGGCTGGAGACAACTTCACAGGGCTTTGCTATTACTTTTGTGCCACCAGGGTTGGTCCTAGTGTTTGGATTTTGATGTTACTTTAGAGGTTACTTTTGTCCTTATGGAAGTAGTGAAAAGCGTTCGGCATTTATGGTTTTGAAACTGCAATTTTCTCTTACAATGTTCAATTCAATTTGTGCCTTCAGATGTACAGCATATCTCTGAACTCTAATGCCATTTCTTCCTTGTCATTTCCCCTGTAATCCAAGCAGACGAGAGTGAGGCACATTGCCAGTTTATGGTTGGAGTTCAGGTAACCATAGAAGTGTTCAGAGGCTGTTGGCAAATATCATGGCCCTTTGTTGGCAGGTCTGTTACTGGGCTGGGTGAATACTAGCCTGGAGGGAGGAGTGGACATGGTGACCAAAAGGGCATATTAGATCAAGAATGCAACATGTTTATGTGGAGGAGGCAAGGCCCTGAATGAGGGCCTTCCAAAAGCCTTGATGGTGGAACAGACCTGTGGTTCAGACATGCTGTGTGTTGTGGAAGCAGAGTACTGGGAGCTCGCAGGTGATGGGGAGTGAGATTCCTAATGCTCTCCATAGACTAGTTCTTTTCTTTTGTTTTAGTATACTCCTTATTTAAGGAGTACTATTTCATGATTGTTTCATGTATGTCTAAGGTGCCTCTTAAAATGGCAGTAACACCTGAGTGTATGTCTAGTGCCTTTGGGTATTATTTTTCAATAACCTTTTTTTCTTCTCTTTATCTGCAGTATTTCCCAGGTCCTGCTTTGCAATGTTACCCAGCGGGTATCATTCTGGTTTGTAGTTACAGACCGTGCACAGAGTCACACAATTCCTGCTGGTGAGGTACAGTCTGCCATAAGGTAATCACTGCTTCATATACCTTCTACTGATAAATCAGCTTGTTTAGTAATTCATCTGTTTTCATTGATATTAAAGAATTCTCTGAGCCTCACAGTGATCTATTTATTAAGGTGTCAAAAATGTCATTTTGTTAGTTTGTATTAGAGATTCACGTAGAGCAGTGTTTCTCCTCTGGGGCAGGTTTGCCTTCAATGAGACATTGACAGTATCCGGAGATGCTGAGTGCTGGGTGAGGGGGTCGCAGTTGGAGGAGTGGTGCCACCGCCATCACATAGGCAGAAAAGTCAGAGATGCTGCTCCGCATCCTTCTATCACCAGACACTGCCTCACACCAAAGAATTATGCAACCCCAAATGTCAGTCATGCTGTGATTGCGATATTCTGGCTTCCCTGTTAGCCAAGAATGTTTATCATGGCTTCACGGGCAAGATCGCCTCTTAGAGCACATGTTTATTGCATGGATTCAAGAGCTGGCGTGCTTAGGTTTTTGAGCCTGGTTTTGTTTCTTGCCAATTATTTGAACACAAACGAGTCACTTCCCCTCCCTCTGCCTTCCTCTTAGCATCTTTAAAATGGGTATAATTATGGTATCCTCTCAGAGCTGCCGAGTCGACTAAGGGAGTTGGTAAGTGTAAGGCATTTTGAGGGACAAGGCACATCTTTGACTTTTACTTAGAAACTGAGAAAACACTTCCTGTTTTGGAATTAATCGTCTTGAGTCAATATGCAGTCTTTACCTTTAAAAGGTAGTTTTTTAAAAAAAGGTACATGCAAGTTAAAAATAAATGCCATCAGGGCCCTCCCTGGTGGCACAGTGGGTTAAAGCACTGCACTAAGAAGCTTAAGCCACTTCCACATGAGTTCGATCCCCGCCTGCCCTGGAGGAGATCCACATGGCGAGGCAGACCTCTCCTGACCCGCCCGCTGCTCCCCTCAGCAGTGTACTTCATCGATCTGCCTGTTCTGCTGCCCACTCTGTATCTGGTGAATCTTCTCACCCTCCACATCTCTGGCCTGCACCCCAGTTCTATATGAATAAATAAATCTTAAAAAAAAAAAAAATGCCATCAAAGACAATTATCTTACTTATGAGGTAACTAGTGATGTTAAACCTGGTCCAGAGGAGACTTCAAGAAAACACAAATGCACGGGAGTGATGGGTGGCAATGGTCACTTATTCAGCTAACACCAGCTTATGTACTAGCAATCGATACTGCCCCGTCAGAACAGCTCATTGGATTTTCTGTGCAAAACAAGCATTTACATTGTGTCCACTTTCTACAGTGTATAGATTTGCAAAATAATCCAAAGACAATAAAAGTTGGAAATTATCCAGAAGGGTGTGCTTTCTGGATCATCTGTAATATTTTTTGCCCATTTCAAGATTTGCTTTGTTCCTGTCTCCTTCCTTCTCTCCTTGTCACCCTAACAAACTTTCAAAAGTGAAACATGTTCTTTTCTTCAAAGAAAGTGAAGGACCCCAAAATTTGTTTAATTTCAGTGAATGCGTACTTTATGTGTGTCAAAACTTTAAAGTGCCACATGTGATTGATGTTGCGCAAAGATGGATTTGGAGGAATGAGTTCAGGAAATAACCCATTTCTCCCCAAAAGAGAATGAAACAGAGTTATTTGCACAAAGGATTTACAGGTCACTGAAATGTTTGTTATTGAGAAATAGTTCGTGAAGAACTCATGGTACGCTCTGTACAATATTACCATTTAAGATAATGAGTATATGATCAAATGCCAGAGGTTTTGGTGTGAATAAGCCTCTGTTTCCCTTACTGAAGCAAGGGCATTGAAGATCTGTACCAATGGGGAATGATTTAATTTGTTCTAGCCAGAAAATGTGACCTAAATTGTTTCTGCAGTTTTGCTATTAAGAATATTGTTAAGACTTAACCTCTTAGGGATTAAAAAGAGGGAATATCCTGTTACCTTTGGGGTCTAGACCTACCCTGTCTCACACAGTGCTCACTCACCACATGTGGCTCTAGAGCTCTCTAAGTGTCACTCAGTCAAAGTTAGATATATGCACTGTGTGTAACGGACACACCAAATTTCAGGGACTTAGCACAAAAGAAACTGTAAGCCATCTCAATACCGGCCACACATTGAAATTCTGTTTTCTTGGCTATATTGGATACAAGTATATTGTTAAAATATCACCTATTTCTTCTTATGCTTTTTAAAATGCAGCTCCTAGAAAAGTGTAAGTCATGCATGACCCTCACACTATGTTTTCTGTTTTCCAGCGCCCCTAAGGGCAGATGCTGTCAGCCGGTGTGTTGTCAGTTCCATAAAGGCCATCAAATATTTCCCAGAAATGTCCTCTTCTACTTTGCAAATTATAGTTGAGATTCACTTATTTGGTTTCAGTCAAATGGGACTAACAGCCCCTACCACCAAAACTGCTGACTTCCTCCAGGAAAATTCACATATTTACCTTTATATATATATATTTTGGCTTTTGGATCCTGAAAGTACTTTAGTTCTGTAGAGCTACTTGCAGCTTCCTGAACATATTGTGACATGTCCTGTCTCCATTTCTGTTTGCCACTACTTACTTTGACTAAAGAACTCCTCATCCCCCAAAACATAGCTTAAAAGTTGCTTTCTCAGGAAAAGCAGCCCTGATGTCTCACTGTGAGTTCCTTGCCCCACCACGCCTCCCATTTGTGCCTGTATTTGCCTCTCTCACAGTTGCCTGACTGTGATGGTGGACGTGCTGCTCTACGTCCTCCAACACTGTAGGGTCCTTCCCAGTCTTGTCTCATTTTCTATCCTGCACCTAGCACAGTATATGGCACCTAGTAAGCTTTCAGCCACTGCTTGTGGAGCTAATGAAAAAATAAAAGAGCAAATGAAAGGCTTTGGAACTGCTCCTCACTTCATGCTTTCTGCACTAGTTTTCGTCTCATGTTTACCACTCACCTTTTACAAATATATATATATATGCATATATATGTATATATATGTATATGTGTATATATATATGTATATGTGTGTGTGTGTATATATATATATATATTTTACATCATTCTTCATTTTGTACAGCTTTTCATCTCGGTTGTAATCTCCATAGACTTCCCACCACCACCTCACCCCTGTGCCATCACCATCGTCCCCTGTGTTCTTCCTGCCCTACTTTTGATCCTGTTCCCCTCTCCTCTCCTGTAGAATGTCTCTGGTTTATAGCTGTCAGTTTTTACATATAATTTCATCGTTTTGGCTGTTGGTATTTATGTCAGCCAGCTTAAATAGAATTCTATCATTTTAATCTAGATGTCACCTCTCAAGAAATAAAAAATGATAGACTCACCTAAAACTTACATGATGTTATAGACCAATGTCACCTCAAATTAAAAGAAACACCACTTTTGGAACAGCTCAATTCTCAGGACATCTGGCTACATGTGAAACATTGTAACAAGGAGGGTGATAATGCATAGGCCACCATTGCAACTTCCAGAAGAGAGCGACAGCATGATTGCCCCTATCAAACTTTTCTAGTCAACCTGAGGTGTCTGCTAGGGGGTGCTTTGGCTATAGAGATAGTTATAATCATGGATAACACTGTACCTGTTTTTAATGCTTTTTGTCTGGTTTTGTTTTTGATCATTATTGTCTTTTAGAATGAATAGGAACCGGATCAACAATGCCTTCCTTTTGAATGACCAGACTCTGGAATTTTTAAAAATTCCTTCCACTCTTGCACCACCCACTGACCCATCTGTACCCATCTGGATTATTGTATTTGGTGTGATATTTTGCATTGTTATTATTGCAATCACGCTGTTGATTCTATCAGGAATCCGGCAACGGAGAAGGTAAGATATTTAAATGAACTGATTTAAAGAGCATTTTCCTATTTTTCCCCCACTGGGGAAAAAAAAAAAAAACAAGGAGAAAATTTTCCCCAGTTGAAGGTAATACCTTCAATCTGAAACTGTGAAAAAAGAAATGGTAATGTTCAAATTATCACCTATGTTCTTCTTCTTTTTTTAAAGATTTGCTTATGCTTACAGAACTGGGGTACAGGCCAGAGGTGTGGTAGGTGAGAGGATTCACCAGAGACAGAGTTGGGAGCAGAACAGGCAGATTGACAAAGTACACTGCAGAGGGGAGCAGCGGGCGGGTCAGGAGAGGTCTGCTGTGCCATGTGGGTCAGCTCCCCGGCTGGGGATTGAACTTGTGCTGCAGTGGCTTTGGAGAGCTTCATAATGTGGTGCTTTAACCCTTTGTACCACCAGGGAGAGCCCTATGTTCTTATTTTTAGATACTTGTAAGAGCCCAGTGCACATGACTTAACTATGATTCCTTCCATAGCTGTCTTTCCATTCTACAATATATGCATGTTTCATATCCAGAGTCAAATTTAATACCTTTTTTATGCTTTTGAAAGCTGGGTATTCAGAGCTAAGCAGGCCTTTTGGGTGGGCATTTAATCACTGGTAGTCAGCCCTCCAAGTGCTAGCAGTTCCACGGTTCTTTCCCTGTCTCCCCACCAGGGCCTGCCTCTTGGCCCAGTGCCTTTAGGTGGCCATCTTGTTCTAGATACTTTGTGCCTTTTTGTACTTCTCTCCTTTTGATGGACACTCATCCCTTTAGTGCCTATGATATTGTATGGAACTGTGTTCCTCAAAGTGACCTTTTAATCAGCTCCATACATCAGAATTACTTGTTCAGAATGTAGGTTCCTTGGCTCTACCAGAGACCTGCTAAATTAGAATCTGAGGGGGGTGCACTTTAATGAATTTCCAGGTTATTTTGATTCACTTAGTTCAAAAACTTCCAATTTTACTACATAATGTATTGCTACTCCTTGAGTAAATTGACCTGGATTCTGGGGATACTTGCAAATGTTAATGCATAAATTATTGCTGTCACATCAAGAGAAAACTTCAAAGCAGGATGAAAGTTACTAAGGTAGTAGGGCAGGAGGAGAGGAGATAGGATTTTTCTGCACGATGAAAGGTGAAAATAATTTTGCTTACAAGTACCTGTGATCCAGAAGGGAAGCGGAGAGAGTCCTCAGCTCTTTACTAGACACTTTGATACTCCTAAACCTTCCTGTTTGGTACTAAGGAAGAGGAATTCTGGTGACTGGGGGTCACAGGGATGTGCATTGGTTTTCAGAAACACTGGTGCCCACACAAAACATGTGGGGTGTATTTGGTCAAGTGTGTGTTCAACTAAATGCCCTCCTGAGGTTTACTACTTTCCAAATACTTCATTCTAGTTACTAGTAGAAAGTAATCATTTTAAATTTTTTTTTAAAAGATTTCTTTATGCATACAGAACTGGGGTACAGGCCAGAGGTGTGGAGGTGAGAGAATTCACCAGAGACAGAGTGGGGACAGAACAGGTAGATTGATGGAAAGACACTGCTGAGGGGAGCAGCAGGCGAGACAGGAGACATGTTGCACCATATGGGTCACCTCCCTGGCCAGGGATCAAACTCACACTGAAGCAGCCACAGATAGCTTCATAGTGCTGCACTTTAACCCATGGCACCACAAGGGAGGGCCCGCATTATAAATCTTGGACTGCATGCATTCTTTTTTCACAAGTGATAGGTATGAAGTAAATGTGATTTATATTTAGTTCCTAAAATTAAACTCGCTGGTTAAGATCAACTTGTACTTGCTTGGTTTTTTGATCTTGGCACAATATGTAATGCAAAGGGACTTCGTACCAGTTGTCTGCGTGGTTTGTTAGAACATTAGGAAATATTCTCTTGCTGTATTTGAAAACCCTCATGATTGTAACCTTTGAGAATCCACTCCATCTGCTTGGTTTCCAGTGCTCTCATTAGTATGATAAGGTGTAGGTGTTGGAAGAATGGACTCTGGAGCTATACTGCTTAGAGTCAAAGTATTCATCGCCTAGAGTCTGCTCTTGTATATAATGTATTAAGTGCATGGCTCGCAGGAAGCACAGGCTACAAGTCAGGGAAACCAAGCTCAGGAGAATATGATTTGTGGTGCTAGCGTCAAGTTGGTTAAGTTTTTCTTTGCTGTCTGAATAGATAACTTTGCTGGAGCAACAGTGAGGTTTACTGGAAATAATTAACTTGGTGGGGTAAAAAGAGTTAATACAGTAGTGTGCTTAGACCGGTGCCTGGCACACAGTGAGCGCTCAATAAGTGTTAGCTGCCACTGTTATTTTATTATCCTGCCATTTGCTGGTCTTTCAGCTAGTTTGTGCTAGGATCAGCTATCTCTTTCCTTCTGAGCAGATTCTGCAGTAATATAATAAATGAGTGTGTGGCATCATAAGCTGTTGCCTGGGAGGAGGGATGCTGTTGTCACAGCCTTGCCTTGACAAATTCATCACATGTTCAAACTGGGAAAACAGATGGACAGATCTCTTGTAAACTTGTAGAGCATCAATAATTAGCAAATAGAGTCAGGACAATTAGGACAACTTTCCAAAGATAAATTGATTTGCTATATTTTAAGTTTGATATGATCTGTGATGTGTTTCTTTTGGGCGAAGTGTTGCTTCAAAAGTGTGGAGAATGTGTAGTCTTAAGTACATTTGATAATTGTAATCGAAGCCCTTTCTAATCATTGAAAAGATAGGTTTGGTCCCTAAAGCCTTTAGTCTTGGAGAAGCTAGTCCAGGAAATGTTCAACAATCCAATCCATGTGGTAGATCATAATGAAGGTAGCTTGTATGGTACTGAATCCTAAAATAAGAATGCCACGAGTGACCCCATGCCATGTGAGTCACCAGGGAGAAGAGTGCCAGAGTCATCATTGTCGAGGAAGTTTCTCAAGTCAAGTTTTATTAGCAGCTGTGCCAGTGGTGTCAACGGCAGCATCACATTGGTGCTAAGAGACCCTGGTTGGGACGTGTGCATGCTGTGAACCCCAGTCGAGGTGGATTCAAATACCAGCTGTCACCCTCTGGCTGAATGACCTTGGTGGAGTCATTTCATTCCCACGGGTCTGTTTCTGTTTGTAGCAGGGCAATAATATATCACAGAGCTTCCATCAGGATTGGATGAGAGGACTGTGTTTAAAGCACCTGGGATATGGTATAAATTAAAATTATTATTATTATTCAACATCAACTGCACCTATTTCTGTGATCAGGCAATGTTGTCAAAGGATCTCTTTTCTGTTCAGATATTGCCGCTATAATGTATGAGATTTTCCTGTTCAATGGCATATTGGAATTTTATTAACAGACACTTATTTTAAAAGACAAGTGACCCTATTAGGCCTACTGCTTACTATAATCATTAATTGACTAAGCAGCTTTTTTTTTTCAATTATATTTATTTATGCATACAGAACTGGGGTACAGGCCAGAGGCTCAGGGGTGGTGAGAGGCTTCACCAGAGACAGAGTGGGGAGCAGAACAGGCAGATTGATGAAGTACACTGCTGAGGGGAGCAGCGGGCAGGTCAGGAGAGGTCTGCCGCACCATGTGGTCACCTCCAGGGCAGGCGGGGATCGAACTCATGCTGAAGTGGCTTTAGCTTCTTAGTGCTGTGTTTTAACCCACTGCGCCACCAGGGAGGGCCCTAAGCAGTGTTTTTTGTGTTTTGTTTTTTTTTAAATGCCAACGAACAGCTTGATTATAAGCTTGAATCAGCCACCTTCAACACGCCGTTGCAACTGCCAGCTCCTTGTGAAAAAGTTGGAGGAAATTGCTTCTCTATTGCCATTTAGTTGAGAACATCAGTTTGTAGAAATGACAGATCTGTTGAAGGAAAAAAGCTGAAGAAGGAATCTTTTTTTGGTAGCTTTTGGGCTAGAAATTAAGGGTTGGGTATGTGGGAGGGCAATGAAGATGGACTGCATATACTTCACAGTGATATGCCAGATCTGTGTTTAGCCCAGCCTAGACATTGTTTTTGTTTGTTTTTAAAGATTTATTTATTTATACATACAAGAGCTGGGGTGTAGGCCAGGGTTGCAGAGAGTGAGAGGATTCACCAGAGACAGAGTTGTTGCAATAGGAACTTTGGAAACAAAGAGGTACACAGCAGTGATAGAGCAGCTTTGCGAGGCGAGACCCTGCTACTGGAGCACACGTTCTTGTGCCATTTATTGAAAGTGCACAGACTAGTAAAAGCTGATCATGTGGGCCCTCTCTGGTGGCACAGCAGGTTAAAGCCCAACACTGCAAAACTGGCTGCAGCTGCTTTGCTGTGAGTTTGATCCCTGGCCCGGAGGTGACCCACGTGGCACAGCAGACCTCTCCTGTCTCCCCGCTGCTCCCCTCAGCAGTGTACTTCATCCATCTGCCTGTTTTGCTCTCTACTCTGTCTCTGGTGAATATTCTTACCGTCCCTGCACCTCTGGCCTATACCCCTGTCCTGTAGGCATAAATAAAAAAAAAAAATAGCTGATTATGCAATAGTAGTATGAGGAATAAAGACCACAGGGTGGGACAGAAATGGGGACAAAGCTTGATGAGGGTCAGGGAAGGGGACATTGTGAGCATATGTCAAGACACATTTGCATCATGAAAGTAGTTGATGTTATCACAGGCAGAGTTATCCCAAGACTGCCATGGGGACAGTAACATCATCAGGTCAGTGGCAGCCTGGGTGTCCCTGGGCCTGCCTCGTGATGTGTTCTATACTCTGTAGGTAGTCAAGGAATATTTTGCTGTGATTTGTGGATAGCAAATAGGTCCCAGTTGCCCATGAGCGGCCACCTCGTAGGAATTCACACAGAGTGGGGAGCAGAACAGGTAGGTCAACTAAAATGTAATGCTCAGGGGAGCATCGGACAGAACAGGAGAGGTCTGCTGTACCATGTGGATCACCTCTCTGGCAGGGGATCGAACTCATGCTACAGGGTCTGTG